CAGAAAGCTTTAGAGCCTTGAAAACGCTTCTTCATCTCAGGCTTGAGCGCGTGAGGGTGCTGGCTGGGCTTGCATCAGCCAAACCTGGAAAGCAGGAACTTGCTCAGCAGTGAGAGCTTGACGCGCTTCGCTGTCTGGCTTCACATCCTGGCCATCAATAGTTAAACTGTGTGCATCTTGGACAAGTCCCCTTACAACTTTCTGAGTGCCTCAGACGACCAAAGACCAAGGTATTGTGCTATTATCCTTGAGCAAGCGATACTAGGAGAACACAGCATAATAGGCGGTAACATCGTGGGAACACAAGTAGTGAGGATTAAATGAGCTACTCCACGTGGAACACTATAGAGACGAGGTTTCACCATGTTGACCAGGCTGGTCTCGAACTCCTGGCCTCAAGTGATCCGTCCGCCTTGGCCTCCCAGAATGCTCGGATTACAGACGTGAGCCACTGCATATAGCCTTTAGCCAAAATATTTTGGGGAATTATCGACTGGAGTGAACGATGTGCCTTGCATTAAAAATTTTATGAGGCTGGGCACTGTGGCTCACTCCTGTAATCCCAGAGCTTTGTGAGGCCGAGGCAGGCAGATGGCTTGATTGCCCAGGAGTTTGAGGCTGCAGTGAGCTATACTCACACCATTGCACTCCAGCTTGGGTGACAGAGTGAGACCCCATCTCTAAAAAAAGTAAAGAGACTGGGCATGGTGGCTCACGCCTGTAATCCCAGCACTTTGGGAGGCTGAGGCAGGTGGATCACATGAGGTCAGGAGTTCGAGACCAGCCTGGCCCATATAGTGAAACCCTGTCTCTACTAAAAATACAAAAATTTGCTGGGCATGTTGACATGCACCTGTAATCCCAGCTACTTGGGAGGCTGAGGCAGGAGAATCGCTTGAACCTGGGAGACGGAGGTTGCAGTGAGCCGAGATCACACCATTACACTCCAGCCTGGGCAACAAGAGTGAAACTCTTATCTCAAAAAAAAAAAAAAATTGTATGAGGCTCACCAAATGTATGTTTTTGTTCCCCATCTTTTCCTCCTTCGCCTCCAAAAATTGTGTGTGTGTGTGTGTGTGTGTGTATGCATGCACGTGTGTATGTGCCTTGAAATGTTGAGGTGTGTTGTTGGCTCAAGGATATTGTTTGAATAC